GCTGCTGACACAACGTCATGCGTGCTCTAATAGACAGGCTTTTCCGTTTCATGAATCTATAACACCACAACGGCCCATCTTTAAAACCTTTAAAAGCTTTGGTTGTCTTTTTACACTGGCTCAGTTCTTCTTGCCGGAGCCTCCACCTTCGCACCATCGACTCGTCTATGCCAAGATTACGGGCAGCAGCTCGATTTCCTTCTTTAACTGCCAGAGTGATCGCTTTTTGTTTAAAAGCTGCATCATATGCTTTTCGTCTGGTATTCTCCATGTTGATCAGGGTTAGAAGAAAGACTGAAATAAGGAAGTTGTGAATACCGGTAATCATACAATTTCATTGGACCCCTGTGTACTACTCATTCATTTTATTGGTCGACTGTTGCCGGGTAACACATCCCCCCCGCTATGGTAAAAAGAGCGGAAGTTGTGATTAGTCATACAATCTCATTGGACCTCAGTGAAAGACTCATTCATTTTATTGGTCCATGTTTTTCCCGCGATGGAAAAAAAATAAAATAAAAAAGCCACTTCAGATTACACGCCGCAGTGTTGAAAGTGTGGAAAAAAGTAGCGGCTTGTAATCCGGAATTTACGGTATTTTCTTCTGCAATTGTTCACATAGAAGTGAACCTCACCGCTTATTTGCTTGTGAATGACTGAGCAATTCAGGGAAGCTACTTTTACAGTATACCCAATCATGGCACCCAACTGTTTCTAGTTATCTTGTTCACCTGTGGGATGTTCCAAACAGGTGTTTGATGAGCATTTCTCAATTTTCTCAGTCTTTTTTGCCACCTGTCCCAGTTTTTTTGGAACGGGTTGCAGCCATAGAATTCTAAGTTCATGATTATTTGCTAAAATCAAAAAATGTTTGAGTTTGAACATGAATCACAATCAGATTTATTGACCAAGTATCCTCAATCCAGAGGGACATTAACAAAATAGATGGCAACAAATTGAAAAGTCGCTGGTTAGAGCCCGAATATCTTAGATGTGAAAGGAAAACAATAGGGAAGAGGAGGAAAAAAACCCGACAGACTCTAATTCTCCTTGAATGGGAGAATGGTTTGAGCTTGAGAAAAAAACCTCAGTACACGCATTATACATTTAAAAGACGTACAACAAAAGATTTTACATGTAATGGAAGGGGGGAGGGAGGAACACATCACAATCAAACCAGCGAGCAGCTCAGACTATTCAAGCGCTCTGTCAGTCAAGTTACATCACGAGGGCGGAGCGAATAGGAATCCTACGAAGGCAGTTTCATTCAAGGGAGGTGTGTAGTGCGTTATTGTCGTGGTTGTGTATACGTGTCAAGCATCCGCAGCTGCATCGCCAAGCTTATCGTCTCCGTGGAGACGTCCTTGGAATATCAGTCTCGGGGTCGAGAAGGAGGGGTAAGGGACTGATAGGAATATCAGCGTTCGAGCGTATGTTTCATCCAGGGGAAGGTCCAGATAAGTTGTTTTGGGAACAGGCCATCAACAATTTCAGACAGCCTTAAGTCTTTTAGCCTCTGAGTCTGGCATCAATTAGCCAAATCTTCGATAAATGTTTCAAGGCCGGACACAAATCACTCCTCTTTCTTTTCGACTACAAAACCTCATCCAACTTGCAATTGAATTCAGTCAACACATGAGTCTGAGTGTTGATCCCCCACCCCGCACCATCCTAGAAAGTCAGGCAGCTTGTTCCCATCAGGTGAAATTTGCAATTGATCAAGAAACTGCCAACTCAAAATAGCAGGATACCTGTTATCAGAAGATCAATAATGTAGATGTCTTCCACATCCATTATTTGTTTTTCGGTAGAAAAATAAGCAGAAGACAAAGCGACAGCACATAACCGAAGTCAGCAAGCAAACAGCGAAGGAGGTTTGGTCAGGAGCAGAGCAAAAAGTGTCCGCCTTTGTCCAGAGCCAAGCAGAAAAAAATAATACATAGAAAATAAAAAATATATTGTCTTTGTAGTGTATTCAATTAAATATAGGTTGAACATGATTTGCCAATTATTGTGTTCTGTTTTTATTTATGTTTAACACAGCGTCCCAACTTCACTGGAATAGGCTTTTGAATAAATCAAGTGATGCATTTTGTGTTTCAGCAAGGAGAGTGGAGTGCAGAGAAGGCCTTTTTGGATCAGCAGTTGTCTTTGTTGCAGCAGCAGAGTCTAGAGAAGAAATGCAGACTAGAGGAGACTATCACTGCTTTACAAACAGATAAACGTACAATGCAAGACATGATGGTAGGCTCTTGAAAATTCTCAAAAGTGTTGGGTTGTCAATATGCTCTTTCCACATAATCTCTTGCATTGCTGAAATATGTCTGTTCGTCTTTTTCGGTTTGGAAAATGTAAACCCAAAAGAGACGCTTTAAGTTATCCCCAACCTTGTTTCTGTCACGAAATCAGTTTATACAAGTACATGGTTTTCACGGACCAGTAACCATTCACTGAATGGAGTTGTTGGTGTGTGTGTGTGGGGTGAGGGGGGGGGGGGTCAATGTCTGTTCTTGTTGATTTTACCACAATTTTCTTTGCATTGTTTTTTAAATTTCCAGTTTTGTAGTGTACGTACTAAAAAGGGAACAAAACCTAACTTCATTATATTCCATTTTAGTTCTTGAGATACAGTTTCTTTTTAATCCAATAATTATCAATGACTTCATAATCAAAATAGCTGAATATTTGTATTTCCTGTTCAAATACGTGGACAAGAAGTAAAGAGAGGCATTTAACATACATCCTCCATTGACCACACAGAAATTAATTGCCGAATCAGGCAGTAAGTAGTACAGGCATGCACTGACACAGGAGATGTTGCTATTTGTCTTTCAATAAACTTGTTAGATCACACATGTACTGTGCATTCTAACGTTCAACAATCTGTCAAATCTAAAGTATTGAATGAATGCGTGTGACATATACCTGTATAGTCTTTCTGATGGACCGGAAAACCAACTGTTGTTGTGACGGCAAGAGAGTACATTGCCGTTGCCAGCCTGTGGCAATGATGTGCTCCATTGGCACAATGCATTAAAGAAACCCAGACTTACATAAACTAGAGCCAGCCTCTGCTGTTTTAAGGACATGCAGAATTAGCCGCCATCTTGAACCAGGAGTCCATGGCCATCTCCATTCACTTGTAAAGAGGTAACTGTGTTTGGCTCCAATAAAGTCATCATAACTTGTTGAATTCTTTTCCGATTGTGACAGTGGGTGGATTGTTACAAACACCAGATATACAGTTATAACACTGTATACCATAAACCTAGGTAAATTTATAATTGGGGCTTTCATAACTTATTTAACAAAAGGGAAGACCAAATACTTTATTTTAGTTTTAAAAAAAGAGAGATCTACAAAAACAATACCGAAAACAACAACCCCACAACAATGAAGTTAACCTTATATTAAGTAGTCATTTATTTTTCTTTCGATCACATTATTGAACCATGCTGAATGGATTGGAACATAATTAAAAGCTTTGAAAACAAATATTCAAAACTTCTATTTTTGTCAGGTTCGTGAGGTCGACGCACCAACCACTGGACCACCGGGCTGCCCTGACATTGGAAAATGAAGCGTATAAATAATTATATTCCAACCCCAATCTAAGTAGTTTTCGCCAGGTAGTCCAAGTGCTCCAAATACAACCTCTTGATGGTTAACAAGGTTACCAAAAAGAAAAGTGGTTGTGTATAGGTGGGGTCAACTGGGAAAATCAGATTTTTTTTTTTTTCCAAATGGTACATAGTGAACCTGACTAGGTAGATGCATTGTTTATGTATCCATTTTAATAAGATGTATGGTGATTGAACATATTTTTCACATGCATTACGGGCCAATCTAGGTGGGCAAAGTGTGTACAGTATAAAAAAAAGCCAATGTGAAGCAAACAGTATCTCTTCATGCTTTTATGGAGAAAACTGAAAAGATAGCTTTATTCACCTGTGGATTGAAAATAGAATTTAAGGAATTGGCTTTGCAATCAAAAATCATATAAGCAATCAAAAAAATCATATAAGCATGTATGCTAATACTGTATCTTAATTTTTATATTGCATTCTGTACTGTGTAGTTCTTTTTTTTAATTTATTTTGTGCATGCAAACACTTCGCTTTTCAACTTTCTTCCCTCCAAATTTTGCTGCTGTAAATTGCGAAGATCTCCATTTGTGAGCCAAATAGAGGTTTTCTTATCTCATCTTATCTTAAAAATATCTGTATTGCATCAGTAGGCGGGTACATAGTATGTACTCCTTGTTTATTGCGGAAGATTTGTTGTTGTACAGAACATAAATCACAGTTTTATTTGGGATTGGGATTAGTCATTTTTTGACCAGCCACAATAGTATCTGATTGAATTGGGACAAGAGGGATTTATGAGATTACAAAAGCTTCTTACGTCCATCTGCTTTGCAAGGTTTTGTTCTGATGCCAGGGATGAACTCTCTTTATGTATCATATGGAAACCATGACAAGCAATAATCGAAATCCTTCCCATTCCTTTTCTTGCTCTAGGCTGACCTAGAGAGGCAACGAGATCAGGCAAATGTCACACTGAAGCAGCAGATGGAAGAGTTGGAACTATACAAGGTCAAAGCTACTACTGCTTGCAACTCCTATTTCAAGTGGTTATTTATTAATTTTTAAAAATGAACTCTCATTGAAGATGAAAAAGAAAAACCTCACACTCCATTGCAGGTGGAATTGGACGGCAGGCAGAAGGTTAGCACAGAAATTGCCAAAGCTCTTGAAGAAAGTAGGCGACAGAGAGAGGAACTACAAACACAGGTCTGTGTGCACATACCTACCTGTCAACCTTTCGGAGCGCCAACCCATATAAACTACCAAAAACATCCTTATAAAGAGCAAAAAATCCTTATAACATACCAAAGCATTTTATGTGTCAAAATAACGGCAGAAAAAACCCCACGAAATTTTTAATGATATTTATTGTAGATCTCCATAATACAATGGCAGGTGAATGTCTAATCATCATTCTACTTAGTGGCATTACTGTGTTCAGAGTTGTATTCCTGCGTTACTTTTTTCGGGCATTCCTTTGGTGCAAGTTAGACTTCAAATGTTCTTTTACATCATGAATTCCAGATGCAAGAACTTTTACTTCACGTTTGCAAATTGTGCAATGAGCATATTCTTCAGTCTTACCAGGCACTATTGCGCCATTAAACTGTGATATCCATTCTTGAAGAAACCTTCCACTGTGCTTCGTTGTACTTCTCTTTCTTGTTGGTTCCATTGTGCAATATGAATGATAAATGTGTTTCCTTGTAGATTAGAACTTGCTTGTACACTACCGAAGTATGGAATGAATACTCTGCTGTTTTCAACTAGGAACTACGTGATTTACTGGAACGTTACCGGAAATGAAAGCATTCGAGTAGACGAGCACCATTCTGGGCAAAAGCAAACGGAACTACCTGTTAGGGGGGGAAAAAAAAAAAAAGCGGAAATTTTCAGAATCCGTATGATTTGTGCGATATGGCCATATACATAAGATTCACCGCAAAATCCGTATAAAATATGGCTAAACCGTATGAGTTGACAGGTATGGTGTGCATCATGCATCATTTTCCCCTGATCCGATTCACGTGTGTACTGTGTGTGTGTTACATGAAATGTAGACTGTTATTATATGCTTGACTTCAGGTTGAAGTGTCGACCACGTTGCTTGAGAGATCGCAACAGGAATTGTCAACTGCCAGTGAGAAGCTAACGTTGAGAGAAAAAGACATCCAAAGGCTATGCGAAGGTACAGACACACACTTTCAGTCCATTCAAGGAAGACCATCACATTGCCATGTTTAATTACTTTCATTATATTTCCAAAGAAGGGGTTAAGGTAATTGGCAATGGACCTTAATTAGTAGGCATTCATGATCATTATCGACCCAATAATTATCATGCCGATAGTAGGATTAATGATGTCACATAAAATAGATCTGATAACCTAAAAAAAAAAAAAAAAAACAGATTGAAAAAACTAAATCCAAGATTGAAGATGAAATTCTAATGGTGCGCTCCTTTCTCTTGAATTGGCCTTTCTAAACTCTCCTCCTCTGAGCTCGCTCACCGTCACTCGTCACACATATGGCATCGGTCATGTGGGACTTCTGGGTGACCAAATCAAATGCTCCTTTGGACTGAATATGCCCTGCGGTAAATGTGCATTGAACTCGCATTAAACAAACATGGCATTGATCGTGTGGGATTTCTTCCCTGTTTAAGAGGAAGAGATTTAATGCACTTGGATGCACAGTCATAGGTTGGTGTTTTATCGGTACTCCTTTGAATGCACACGCCATTTGACATTCATTGACAGTAACATTTTATCATATACTGAACTCTGGCTAAAGTTTACATTTGATAAGCCATTCAAAACAAAGTCATTTCTTAAAATGAAATAAATGGGGCATTCTAAAAACACCTCTGTTTTTGATATTTGTTATAATAGTGATGTCCTATTTTTAGTAGGACAAATCTTTGAATGTTTCTTTTCTCCAGGTGTGCATAAATTACAGTTAACTCTAAATTTGAAATATGAGTACGTTATCAGTTATTGGTAATGGTACCGTTTTCGGCTTGAAAAAATGTATTGTGCATCACTTTTCATGAGTTAAATGCTGATCCAGTTTAAACTCATTTTGCTCATTCAAAGTGGAGCACCTTCCTATGCTCTCTCAGATGATGATGATGGGGATCTTACATTAAGTGAGCATTGCAGCTTTTTAAGGTCATTATCATCCCAGTAAACGCTAGCATGCTGTTGTTCTGCCCATTTCTTCCTATTTTTTACTGAATGTACTTCCAATGGCTGGTTACGCCAATTGATTTTTTTTTTTCAGCTTACAATCTTCACCTGTGCTATGATACATTTTGTCTCTCAAGGAAATAAACTGTTTAAAAACATGTTACAGAAGTGCAGAGTCGGCAGGCATCACTGGTCCAGCTGCGGGATGAATTTGAGCACCTGCGGGTACAGCGGGAGCAGATTGAGCAAGACAAAGACTCCCAGCTAGCTCACCTGAGAGAAGAGCTTCTCAGCCAGACCCAACAGCAAGACACTTGTCAAGCTCGGGTTAGTACATATCCATTAATTTCATTGTATTTAAATCACATTTGTGCATACCTTAAAACTGCCTGAGACCCGCAACTCCCAACAAGTAAAAATTAGATACTTAGGTGCTTACAGTTTCCCGGATGCACTTTGTGTGTGTGTGTGTGTGTGTGTGTGTGTGTGTGTGTGTGCGCGCGTGCGTGTGCGTGTGTGCATGTGCGCACGTTTACAGATCGCATATTTAGAAGTGGAGGTGGAGACCCTGACAGAGCAGCTTCACAGTCCTGCAGTGTGCGATGGGAACCACAATGGCAGCGTAACAGTGGATGATCTAGATCACATTCAGAAGGTGAACAAAGAGCTCGAGCAGCAGCTCAGTGACAAGAACAAGGTAGGATATTTTTCTTCTCCGTGTGTCATTGCTGCTTGTTATTAAAGTTTCAAAAGGGGTCACATGCTCAGGGCTGGGCGATAATTCAATATCAGCGTATATCATGATAGACACGTGATCAATATCAATTGAAATTGCAACCAATACAGTCCCGATTTACTAAAACATGGGAATCAAGCCCCAACCTGTCATTCTGCCCGCTGTTGGCAGAGGCTGCATCATGACATTAGATTTCAGCAAAGAAATGTGTGCAGGGCATTCGTACACTGAATGAAAGTGTGTCTTAAACTTAACTTTGTTCAAAAAAAGTACAACTCTCACACTGTTTATACTAACCCGATCAAACACCTTCGGATGGATACATGAGGTTGAAGTAAAGGGCTTCCCCGATCCGACCCTCTCAGCGTTGCACTTCACAGCCAAGTGAAAAATGTCCTGTCACATAATGAGCCAGCTAAAAACATAAAATAGTCATAAATGTGATGGTCATACACTCTTAAAATATTATTAGTTCGCTAAGCTTAACATGTCTGAACAGCGAATGAAGGGTAATGAAACTGCATGAGCATTATTGCTTAGGGGGCAACGTTTTACACAAACATTTATGGTGCACTGCTGGAGGAGCATGAATATTAACGTTGCACATCCATTACAATGTACTCAACGACAGTGTACATTGTAATGGATGAAAATTTATTTTACCCCCCCAGAGAATGTGAAAGGTATTTTCTTGAGAGTTGTTTTATTTGATGTTTATCCTGAATCAATTTAATCATTTTTATTTTTGTCTTTAATCGGCATAGTTGTTGTTCTTTAAATAGGATAAAACAGATCAATCATTATCGATAGACTGATACACAAGACATGCTCAATATGAAAGGGTGGGCCAATAAAATGTTTCCACTTTTTTTTTTTTATCTTACACAATTTTTTTCAATGAAAACTTATTTAAAAGGGTTATTTGCAGATTTGTATCAGAAGCATTAAATTAACATTTGATACCAAAGGTTTCCCAATTTGTCTGTTGTTTTCGACACAATTCAATAATTGATGTTCAATCTACGCTCATCTTCTGTGGATTACGGCTGCAACATGCAAAATAACATGCTGATATGTTTTTTTTTTTTAATAATTGAAACCAACATGTTAAGAAAACTTGTGGTTGTCTTTCAGACTATCAAACAACTGCAGCAGCGAATGGCAGAACTAAAAAGAACGTTGCAAAAAGAACTGGTAAGATTAACTAGACAGTCTTTATGCTTTTTTTTTTTTTTTTTTTTTTCCCAGACTGATACCAGCGGGAGTGCTGATCCCTCAGTAGACACCGATACCAAGTACCGAAACCATTACTGGTAGTACTAATGATGCATAAAATTTCCCCCCAAAAATGACAAAGAAAGTCCCGATTTGATTTTCATGATTTTTGTATTCAGTGTTTTAACTCCCTGTAAGACTCTTCTGTCATTATATAAATAGGCTTGATTTGAACTGTATATCCCAATATAGCATTTTTCCTTAAAATTGAACAAAATTAAGAATTTTCTATTCTTCTAATTTGTAGCTCCTGATTGTAAAACGGCCACAAGAGGGCAGTCGATACTAGTACAGATACCCGTAGCCTGTACGAGTATCGACGGTCAGGAAGTAGAAATGAGAAGGATAGAAAATTGCTCATACTTTTATGCAATTTTAAGGGAAAATGCCATGCTCTTGTTAACACATCTGTCGTACTTTTTGGGGGTAGTTTTTATTTAGTGGTATTGGTACTACTCAAGAGTTCAATACTTGCTCTGGTATCGAACATCCCGAACTTTTTTTTTTGTACTTTATTCCAAGTACAGTTTTAGAGATTGTCTCAAGTTTAAAAAACAAACAAACATTAGTTTCCGTTATTGAATATGAAACAAATCTGTGTATGTTTGTTGAAAAAAACATATATTTGTTGTCTTCTTTGTTATCATTTGTGGATCTTTGTTGACAATTTGTTTGAGGTTGTGTGCATTATTGCCGTCGTTCTTCCTTAGTGGGCCGCAATCTCTTTTGATTCGGCCGATAAGAGACCAATCAATTGTGAACTCGGCCTCAGCTTTCAAGTCTTGCCTTTCAGGAGCCACGAGGCGAGCATGAAGAAGTTTGCGGGCTGCCCGGCGCCGTGCGGCGGCGGCGGCGTTCCCGGCGAGCCCGTCTACCTCCTGGACGTGGCGCTGCACCCGGCCGGCGAC